ACTTTTTCCTTTGTTCATCCGATTGCACTATTCTTTTGCGACTTCCATCGGCGTCTTGTTCATCTCTCACGTTCTCTGTCCTACCTGTTTTTCAATCCTTTATAATCCTTCTGTTTCACTTTCTTTTTCACTTTTTGTCACTGTTTATTATGTCCTCATGTATTTCACCACTTTTTTAAGACTTTATTACAGCTATCCACCCTTAGATATCTAATTTCTGTCACTTCTTCTAGTTCATTTTCTCCCCATTTCCATACTCTATATTTCCTTGCTCTTTTTTCGAATACTGAAATTTTTGTTTTTCTTTCGCTCAAAATCATTTTCTTTTTCTCAATGTACTTTTTGAACCTTTTTAACATATCTTTTAGCTCTTCTCCTCTGTCTGCTATCAAAACTATATCATCAGCGTAGGATAAACTTCATATTTTTTCATTTCCTATTCTGCATCCTCCTACTTGCCCTTTTCTCATTTCCTCTTCTAGATCCACTAGGCACACATTAAATAATGTTGGGCTCAATGGACACCCTTGCCTCACTCCTCTCTCTGTCCAAAATTCATCTGATATTTCATCTCCTACCTTCACTCTATTTATAGTTTCTTTGTATATATCCATAACTCTACTTTAATATCAATATTTTACTCATATCATGCAATCTTTCCTTTAAAACCGTTCTATCTACTCTGTCAAATGCCACTTTTAGATCAATCAAGCATGCGAATATTTTTCCTTTTGGTTTACTTAATTTGTCTTCCACTATGTGCTTCAGCGTATAAATTGCTTCCATCACTCCTCTTCCTTCTCTGAATCCAAACTGACTTTCTGCTAATTTTTGTTCAATCTCTTTTTTTAATAATTCATTTAACATACTCGCGTATATAAATCATCAAGCATTCAACGACATTAAAAAAAAATGCAGCCTATGAAGGAGAGCTTGGTACGCTTAGTAATTGGTGGTGAGCTTGCTCACTTATACTGTGAGATACGATGTTATCCCTGGTAGCTCTACCCTGCAGTAATGCTAACATGACTTTGGGAAGTTACTAAAGCCACGCAAAATGAGGGGGGGGTATAAGTGAGTATGGGTAGTCTAATAAAAAAAGTCCACGAAGTCCCACACTACCACTGTCCTCGCGATCTGTCTCTATGCATTCCTCCTCCCTCTAAAAAAAAACTACTTCTATTTCTTCTGGTTTTAAGACGAGCAATAGAAAACAAAAAGTGACATTCGATATTCATGGCTGTTGCCAAAGCTCTCGAGTCAATCAGGTAGTCGTGAAAACCCTTATAAAAGCTTGTGCATCTTACTGATCCCTGACATCAAAAATGACTTTTATTTGGCTAGATGGTCTATTATAATAAGGGCTATATAGTTATATACTGTACATTACCACATTAGAGGCTCTGCCCTTGGCTCTAACTTTCACAACCTGGTCTTTAAGAGACTCCTACACTTTTAAAGGCCTCCCGAAGCCAAGCTAGTGGGCATTGCTAATGACATTATATTGCACGTCACAGCAAGATTTTTAAAAACGTCCAAGCACAGAGTATGGTGAATGGTTGTGATAAAATTTAACTGGCTCCAGGATTATTGTTTTAAACAGGTAAATCCAAAAGACAGAGATGGTTGTTCTCGCCAGGCAGAGGCAGTTTGGGGGACTTTTGCCTTAACCGTTCCAAGTATAGTAATCTACGAAAAACGCAGTATCTAGATGTGGAGATCGACTCTAGATTAAGCTCCAAGAAGCACATTAAAAGAGCAGCCAACAAGAAGTGTTTTTAAGGTTAATGCCAAGAGTTAAGTGCCTGCAAAAGGCCAAAAGACAGCGTCGGTCTCCAACTCAAAACGTTAGGACAGCGTAAAGGTGTAAATAGACGTGTTGACGAGACAAGACATTTAAGAGCACCTAACTTTGGTGCTGCAAATCGGATTAATTAAAATCACGTGATCCTATCGCACGGTCTTCTACACCATCGTTATGGTAATTATACGAACGGTTTCCCTCGTATTGCTTGCGCTAAGGTGACGAAAAAAATTCCTAGGCTCTGGTAACAAAAGTGATGTTAATAGGTAGAAGATAATGTTAAGGACGTATTTACAAAAATAAGGTTAGGCTGGTGTTGATAGATCGACACATCAGCTGATACCAGACCCGTAACCTTGGCTGAAAAAGGTCACAGAAATTTTTATTACAACCTCAGTCAAAGCTTTTCTAGGCATGTATAGTTTAATAACTTTCTCTGTTGCATGGTGCTGATAGCATTCCACAATCGTGCTTTTTATCTTACGTTTGATAATATTATGTAATTCACGTTCATTATGTGAAAAACATGGTAATGTAAGTATTGGCCACTGGTTGAGGTGCTTAGCGAGTTTCTGAATTNCTAACCATGTTTCTACTAACATTATAATATCAAAATTATTTAAATATTCTCATACTTCCACGTCCTTATTTAACACTCCTGCTATGTTCCAAACGCATATATTTACACTTTTTTTTTTCTCCTCCTCCAACTCCCTCTCCTCATTCCCTTCTTGTCCTCTTCATTCTTGCGATCTTCCTGTTATCTTCCCCTGTATCCTTCTTCTTTCTTCTAGGAAATTTTCCTTCCATTCGTTGTATCTATACCACTTATCATCAATCATCAATTTCATATAGCCAATTTTTGTGGTTTTTCCTTCGTTTCTTTGTTCCTTTGATTTATCGAATATCAATCTTTGTATTTCTCTTTCTTTTCGTGTCAAATCATTTTCAATACATACTTCTTTTTCAAGCTTCTTCTTGTTCATTATGATAATGTCTTTCATTTTCTTGCTTTCCAATTCTACTACTACCATTTCTATATCACTTTTTCCTTTCTTTACCACTATTTCAGTAGCATTTTTCACCTTTACATTGACATTGATTTTCTGTTCCACAAACTCTTCCACCTACTTTTTGATATTTTCTTTTTCTATAATTGCACCCTTAATGACAATGTTCTGTCTTCTCTTCTCCCTTTCATTTTTTTCTAATTCCCATTCTAATCCATGGATCCTTTCTTCAATAGCTTTCTTCTCTTCTATCCACTCTAGTCTTTCTTTTAACCACCTGCTTCTTTCCTCTGTCTATTCTTCTTCTCTTTTTTCTAATCTTTTCATCAACTTAAACATACTATCTAATCTCTTTTCTATTTTACTCATCTTATCATTTTGTTCTTTAACATCCTCACTTTCATCCTTTTTCTCTTTTTCTGTCTGGAAATTCAGGGTGGATTGATCTTTGATTTTTGGATTTGTGTTTGTATTACTTCTCGTGTTAATATTTGCGTTTTTTCCTGTCATTTTCAAAATTCTTCCGACTCTACAGATATCTTCCTCACTGACTCTGTCAATTCCGGTAATTCAGAAATTCTTTTTATCTACTGCCAGTAACCAGGTTGTCAACAACTTCTTTATCTACTGTCTCTATAAACAATATCCTTTTTTTTTTTTTATGGTTCCTTCTTTATTGACCATTTAACTACCGTCGGAAAATTTGGTATCTTCCTTATCTACTTTCTCTGTCAGTAACCGATAAAAAAAAATCACCTTTCCCTACCCTTGCCCTACCTTCTTACTGGGTTTCCTAACCTCACTTTTTCTATACCCCTGTTTGTCCACTTTTTCACTATTCACTGTTCACTTTTCTTTAATTATTATCACTTCTTTCTTTCTCCCTTTTCCTTCGTATACAACTTTTTCCTTTGTTCATACGATTGCACTTATTCTTTTGCGACTTCCATCGGCGTCTTGTTCGTCTCTCGCGTTCTCTGTCCTACCTGTTTTTCAATCCTTTATAATCCTCCTGTTTCATTTTCTTTTTCACTTTTTGTCACCGTTTATTATGTCCTCATGTATTTCACCACTTTTTTAAGACTTTATTACAGCTATCCACCCTTGCTCTTTCTTCTATTTATTGCTTTATTCAGGAGCTTACTTTTACACGTCCACTCTCCTACGTGTCCATAACGGAAGTCCTTCTTATTTTATTATTCAAGGTTGTAGAATTGTTCTTACAATTTTTCATTACAGTTTGCATTTTAAAATCTATTAATGCTAGCTGCAGTTCATTATTTTTTAATGCCGCACATGCAAGTTTCATACGTCCATTCAACAGTTGTATTTGATGTAAAATAAATCTGTTATCAATAATCGGATAATTAATATACTTAAAATTTTGTAATTCCATAAAATAGCTTTTAGATATAGCTGATGTTGCTACATAAGATGAATAGTTATAATATTGACCGCTACATTGGTCCATGAGGAAAATTAAGTGAACAAATAGAATAATTTTTTTTTTTAATCTGGACAATAAAGATGATTGGGCATCGACGACAACGATGTTTCTATTTCACTTAATTGCAATGCATTCTGGTAAATAGAATCAATCAAATATTTTATATCGTTACCTTCATTAATCAACTCTGTACATTTTTTTTCGTTTTCTACACCTTCATAACCAATTATTCTTTCTGTGATAATTGTTTCCAAAAGTTCTTTTTCATCAAAATTTTTGAATTTTTCTGTTAACCATTTTTTTCGAACACCGCATGATGATTTTTTTAAGTATGTTGAGCTCAAACAAACGATGAATATTGCTGTTAGTACATCTTCTATAACTTGAAAGCTTTTAACTTCAATGCAGTAACCAATACACCTTTTATACAAATCTTGTACAACTATACTTGTATTTTTCAATCTTGTCCATCTTTTAAAAGCATTCATTATATTGCTTGTGTCCAAACGGACTAAACAAGATTTTAAATCATGTAAGTCATTTATTACAACTTTAAAGCAAAACATATGTTCTCTTTATATAAACAGCTATTGTGCGATAAACATATTGCATTTAGATAGGCTAGTGAGAAATCTGCGCTAACTTGATCTGGAATTGGAGCACCAGCTTTCAGTGATTCATTCAAAGCTGATTTCAGTGGGTTTATATCGTGTTTTTTACTAAGCATTTGCCAAAGTGACACTATTTTACCCAAGGATGAAGTGACTATAACATATAGAAAAATATGATTCGTTGTTGTTGTTCATCCATTCTTGTCACAGCTTTGACAAAAGTACCTAAAGCATTGATAGACACACGTAATCTCTTGTGCTTCTTCATCTCATTTCACAAAAACAATTGTTCGTCAGTCCAAGACTTTATTAGGAATGGAAGCCTCATAATCTCTCTAATAGCAGTGTGTCTATTTTTTTTGTTAATATAATAAGGATTTTATTATAGCTGTCAGTCCCTTCAATATCAGAGCTCTATTGATTGTTTTTTGTCTGGTTGTTCTCATTACTGCTGAATCGTGTAAATATGGCGGTTTCAAATCAGATAATTCGAGTTCTTTATTTGCTTCTTCTTTTCTAAAACAACTAACTTTGACGTACAATAGCTTCTTTCTAACTTCATTTCTTCTGTGACCTCTGAGTTTTTTTTTTATGGCAAATTTTTCTGCTATCATAGGTACTTATATCTATGCTTACTGAAGGCCTTTTAAGTAAAAATGACCGTAGGCACTTTTCATAAAAGTTAGTACAGCATTCATCACAACTCCTATGAAATTCTAAAAAAGGTAATAAGATTTCTACAAAAAACAGACAATTTTTAAAACTAAATTAATTGTAGCAAGAGTGTTGCTGCCCTGTTGGCTGCGTCTATTTTGACGAAGTCAACCAATTTGTTACTTAAAAATTAAGGAGGGATCGCGGCACGAAAAACTACTTAATTGACAAATGATTAATTAAAATCCACCTAAAAAGAACAATTTTGCTGAATTTATCGGAACGGAGGATGGGAATGGACTGGGTGAAATAAATTTAAAATGCACTGGTTATGAGCCACGAACGAAGATATATTTTGTGGCTCAAGGGAAAAACTCCGAAGAGAAAAACCCAAGAGAAGAAAAATTAATGAAAATACAAGCAAGTGAGGTTGAACAATAAATTTTAAGATAAACTTTCTACAATAAAGAGTGTGTACTTGTGTATTGTGTGTAGAAAACGTATACGTGCGCGTCGGCACGTGTCTCGAAAAACTCACGAATCGACAAACGTCGCACGGCCGTGAAGCGGATTTTCGCCATGCTTTACTCGCAGCACGCCGAGCTTCTCGAAGATGATGCAGATGACGATGATGATAAAAAAAGGAAAGCGTGAGAGAAATTAACCCCAAAAAGGTGACTCCTAGATACCCGTGTGCCGGATGATGATGAGAAAAGATGTAGAAACTAGTAGGACGAATATAATACCCAACTATGCCAGATACTCGAGATCACAGTTGACAACTGGAGACCGCTCTGTATGGACAAAAAGTTTGGAACTGACTTGACGCACCCACCAAAAGTAGTCGCAAGACCCCCCTTCCCTTTTTAATTATCCCACCCGCTGCAGTCGTAAGGTTCCATCAATCCCTTACACCTTATGTGAAAAGCTAGGAAAAGAGAAAGAGAGAATGATGTAAGCAATTAAGAGAGGGGGAGAGACCTATGACCCGAGGACACTTAATGGAAGCAAAGGAGATGGAGATGTAGGTGCAGGATAGAGAAGGAGAGAAATGTTTAGCTAATGAGAGTATAGAGAGAAAAATGAGAGTTAGCGTGAGAGCGATCAATTATACCAACTGAAACAAGAGGAGAAAAAAGATGAAGGTAAGAAAGAAATTGACCAGCGCTTGCATGTGTGAACATGTGATGAACTTTTGTGTAAGCTCGGTGTGCTGCCATCTTTGGCGTGCTGCGAGGTTGATCCTCCACTGCTCACGAGGCGGTCTACGAATCTTAGTCGTTGCGACTAAACACTAAAACTACATGTTAGTTTTTGTGATTTCCAAAATTTTTGTACAAATACATCTGTCCACTCATTTTTCAAAGCGAAGTATGTTCTGTTGTCTTAATAAGTTACTTTGATACGCTTCATTTTTTCCCATTCCTTTTGATTAAGATGTATTGTTAATTTTAATAGTGGACAATTTTGTGGATTTGGATCTATAATTTCTTTTCTGTGATTAAATTCATCATCCTTCGACAAAGGTAGTGTTACAATCGTCACCCTCATCATCACCACTACTTTGAAGTGAGAATTTGTAATCATTAGCTTTTTCAATTGTAAAATAAAATTTTAATTTACTCAAGATGGCTTTTCTATCTTGTTAAACAAATATGTACAAATTATGCCATTCTATCTGACTGTTAAGTAATCTACACGCTACTTTCTAAATTTCGTTTTTTTTCAACATATAACTTTCCATCATTATCAGATATTTTGGGTTCTTTCAAGACTTCAAAAATTTTATCTTTACTAACCGAAGCTTTTGAAGGCATTTTTTTGTTAAACTAATAAAACTTTTTTTTCATGACTCAGACTTAACCTGCACATGTTTTAATGTTAATTGTAATTGTGCCGGAGATTGTTTTATGCATGTTGTATTTTATCTATTGCATACTTTTGTAATATGATATTCAAATTTTTTACATTCAGATTATGAACAAAAAGCAGTATCTTTATAAATAGCTACAAAAGTATTTGCGGTTTAACGAAATATATTTTAATTGCAAGTTTGAACTGGAGTTATAAATAAGGGTGCACTTGGCAGACTTCGCTCACTTGATGCATACGCACCCTTCATTCGTTTTAGATCATTAGATTAGCGCCACCATCGATCAAAAAAGTTACCCTTGGTAATTGGAGAAATTCAGAGTAAAATTTGTCTTTTGATTGATAGAATAACTAATAAATCCCAAGTATTGCCTCAACAAACTAGTTGAAATCCCAATAATTTTCACTATTGGTTGTTTTTTTCTTCTATGAACTCCTCCCATGAGGAGGCGATTACATGAAGGATCTTCGCATACCAACACCACTATCGGAACATTCCGTTGAAAAAGTTCTGAAGCTAATCAGAGCAGAGCTAGAGCAAGAGTGTAGGGAAAGACTTATTTCTCCTGTGATTTCCATATACAGGCGTGTTCGGTCAGACGGTACCCACAACGTGATTCAAATCTTTTTAATTAATAAGACAAGCAACTATCGCCCAATGACCCGAAGTGCTTACTAGTCACTCATATTAATAATTGAAATGTTAAATAATAACGCAAGCACCTATTTCCTAATGACCCAGGGTGCTTACTGGCTACTCTAATGAATAATTAAAATATTAGTTGATGACTGTTAGCAGTATGGGTTTATGAGCAGGTGACTTGGCGAATAAAAGTACAACACTTGTGATTCAGAATTAAACTCAGACACGTTTATTTTCACATTCTTTAGTCTTAACTATCTCAACACTTTACTATTTTTAGTACAGTAGCTAAAACAAACAGAAAAGGTAGGATGAACTATAAAGAAAATACGAAGACAGAGAATGCGTGTACAAACAGACTGACTGACTGCGCGAGAGTAAACAAAAACGTAGTTACTTGACGCTGAAGTGCAGCGTCTTGGCATCTTGTCTTCTGGCTGTTGCGCATGCGTGACAATTCAGTTACAAGCACCAATAATACATCTAACACTCCTTCCATTTTATATCTGAATTTATTAAAATGAAAAGAAAAGATATATTGAAACACTACACTGAGTATGAATAAATTATTAATGAACTGGTGATGTTAAGCATGTGGGCTTCTGGATCACTCATTGTGGTTGATTGTGACGAGCTAAGACATACACAGAAAATGTATAAATAAGCATATCTACTATTATTATCCATCTATCATTAATTTATTAATTTTACTATCTCAAGTTTAAATTCAATTGTCATGTAATTTACGCTAATTAACATTCAAAATTTCTTTCGTTAGTCTTTTATGCAGTTCGAACGGCAGGAGTTTTGTAAAAATATTTGCTAGTTGTTCCTTGGATGGAGTCCATTTAACAAATATTTTTCCTCTGGATACACATCCCTCAACGTAGTGAGCCTTTATCTCGGTCATATGTCTCAGTCTTTTAACACCATCTATCTTAGCACTTGCTTCGTCAGCTTTGTTGTCACACCATAGATCCGCGGGCAATAAAGTGCGAGACAATATAATACTTATAGAGTTCTCCAGTCCAATCAATTCTTGACTTGCGTCGCTCATTGCCACATATTCTGCTTCGCAGGTTGAAATAGCAACATAATTCTGTTTTCTTGCTTTCCAAGCAACTGTATCCCCATACAACCTTAGGAAATATCCACCTGTTGTTATTGAGCCTTTACAGTCTGCCAAACTCGCATCTGAATGGGCTTCTTATCAATCCCTACAACCTCTGTTAGTGAATCCTAGGGTTCTTGTGTGTTGTAAATATTGAAGTACCCGTTTGACAATTTGCAATCATCTTCGGTTAGGCCGATTTGATGTCTACTCAGTACATTCACTGAGTATGAAATGTCTGGTCAAATTGTGTTGGCCAAATACAGCAAGCTACCGACTGCTTCTCTGTAAGGTACATTTTCTTTCGTTATCGTTGTGTTTAACTCTCCAGCATCTTCAAACTCTTCTCTATCTTTTCTTCGCCGATTCAAAACTTGATTTGTCAAGATTGGTGTTCTGTGGGATTTTTACTCGTTGACTTTAAATCTTTCTAACATTTTGTCTATGTATGGTGTTTGTGTTAGTGAAATTTTATTATGTTTCCTATCTCTTTCCACTTTGATGCCTAGAAATGTGCTAACCTCGCCAAGATCTGACATTTCAAACTCAGATCGCAGATCAGTCTTAATTTAATTCATTTTGCTTACACAATTGCTGGCTATCAGCATATCATCCACGTATAGGATCAGGACTAGAAATTTATCTGCTTTTCTCCATGTATAGAGACAGGGCTTGCCTATTACCCAATGACCCGGGATGCTTACGTGCTACTCTAATAAATAATTAAAATATTAGTTGATGACTGTTAGCAGTATGGGTTTATGAGCAGGTGACTTGGCGAATAAAAGTACAACACTTGTGATTTAGAATTAACGTTTATTTTCACAATCTTTAGTCTTAACTATCTTAACACTTTACTATTTTTAGTACAGTTGCTGAAACGAACAGAAAATGTAGGATAAACTATAAAGTGAATGCGAAAACAGAGAATGCGTGTACAAACAGACTGACTGACTGCACGAGAGTGAACAAAAACGCAGTTACTTGACGCTGAAGTGCAGCGTCACGGCGTCTCGTCTTCTTGCTGTTGCGCATGCATTACAATTCAGTTACAAGCGCCAACAATACATCGAACAATAACACATGTCAGCAATTCAATAATTTTAATTAATTGTCCAATACGAAAAGTGTAGTATATCACTCCGGGGTAAAGGTAAGGTATTGTAAGAGATAGGCAAGACAGAGTATATAGATATAAAACGTATATTTATTACTGCTGAGTGGTACCTGGACGACCAGTCACCGTGACTGTCTGTAGGGATCTGAGAGCCTGAGTCCTCTTCGCTATACATTGCTTACTCTCACATAGAGGGCGCCACTTATTCTATTATAACGCTCCGCTACATACCTCCGCCCCAAGACTAGTGCCATTCTAACAATTATAAGTTTAATCGATCCGGTTTCTTAATAATACGCTTTGGTCGTTCATTTATATTTAAACTAGTCTTATTTTCCATAGCTTTATTATTAAGTTCGACAGGCATCCGCTGAGCATGCTTATCTTTTAAGACAATCAATTCGTCCTTATTACCTTCAATCTCGATTGGTTTATACACCCCCTCTTCTTTTCGTTGCCATACAGTTGGAGTATCGCCGCAACTTATACTCGGATTAATTTCCTGAGGTTCTATATTTTGAGGTAACGGAAAATTGATCATCTCGCTTGACATAGCATCAGTTTTTTTATGCTCGGGATTTTCGCAAAATTTTTCAAATAATGAGCTCGCCGATCGCATCTGATCCAGGTGCCTTTTCCAGTATAAACCATCTTTTAACGTTCTACAAATATAATTTCGTGGACCTAATACTTCAACTATTTCTGCTTTGACCCACGATGGTTTACTTGGATAACGATAATCTCTTACCCAGACTTACTGTCCCAGTTCAAATTCTACATTTCTTTTACCAGGATAGTTTGCAACCTGGCGATTCTTATTTCGAACACATACATTTTCTCTTAACGCATCGAATCTTGTTCTTAGTTGCCTTCCATACATTAAATACGCCGGTGTTTGTTCTGTTACACTGTGTGGAGTGGTTCTATATGTAAACAAATATTTAGCTATTAATAACTTAGTATCTATTTTGCTATTTTTAGGATCTAATATTGCTTTTTTGAGCCCGACTTTAAATGACTTTACCGCGTTTTCCGCTGCCCCATTGGTAGAAGGGTGGTACGGCGCCGTGGTTACGTGATTTATTTTGTTAGCCTCACAGAAATTTTTAAATTCTTCAGACACGAACTGCCTCCCGTTGTCTGTTACAATTTTTTGAGGTAGTCCTAAGTTTGATACATATTCACATAAACACTTTACTGTCGCCGCAGCATCCATCCTACCCATCTCATACACGACAGGCCATTTCGAGTAAGAGTCGATGACAATTAAATAGCACTTATTGTATATAGGTCCTAAAAAATCCATGTGGATCCTTTCTAGCGGTTCTTTAGAGTCAGTGTACCTGACCAGCTCAGCTCTTTCCGGGTTATTTGCAAACGTGTTACAAATCTCACAGCTTTTAGCAAATTGTTCTAGTTCTTTATCTAAATTGGGCCACCAAAAATACTGTCTGGCCACTGCTTTCATTTTACTAGAACCCATATGAGTCGAGTGAACTTCATCAAGCAAGTCTTGCTTGAGCTTGTCAGGAACAATGACTCTATAGCCCCACATTAATACGTCTTGGTCAATACACAATTCATGCGCCCTTGAAGCAAATGGCTTAACACTCTCATCCACTTCATCGGGCCATCCATACTTCACATACCTATACACTTTGCTCAACATCAGATCAGTACGAGTATATTTTGCAATCTGCTTTGAGTCCACTGGCAATTTACTGTCAATTACAAAATTAAGATAATCATATTCAGGCTCTGCCCCAACTATTTTACTTTCTAATGGCAATCGAGAAAGCCCATCTGCTACTCCATTTCTACTTCCCTTTACATATTGTAAAGTATAATTAAAACCACTTAAAAAATGAGCCCATCTTTGGAGTCTTCCCGCTGCCATTTGTGGAATTCCTTTTTCCTCTCCCAATGATGCCAATAGGGGCTTGTGATCTGTTTCTAACAGAAATTGAGTACCTTTTAAGTACTGATAAAATTTAGTGACACCCCAGTAAATTGCCAATGCTTCTTTATGGATAACAGAGTAATTTTTTTCTGCTTTTGAAAGCGTTCGTGAAGCAAAGCTGATTGGTCTCACTTCACCATTCTTATAAATGTGCGATAACACCACTCCTAATCCCACATTGGACGCATCACAAGTCAGTTTTATTTGTACGTTAGGATCAAAATGAACTAAATTTCTGTCAGATACCAGTTCAGCTTTAACTTCCTCCCACGCTTTCTGACACTCTTTTGACCACACAAATTCAACGTCTTTTTGCAACAATTTGTACATTGGGTTTAACATTGTTGCTAGATTGGGTATAAATTTTGCATAATAATTAACCATACCGATATAAGCCTGTAATTCATCTACCTTTGCAGGTCTGGGGGCATTAACGATTGCTTCTATTTTCTTTGGATTTTTATGAATCCCTTTCTTGTCAATTACATGACCTAAATATTCAACACTTTTTTTAAAAAATTTACATTTTCCTAGATTCAGTTTAAAACCAGCTGCTTGTAATTTTTGTAATACTAAGTCCAAATTTTTCATATGTTCGTTTCGATCTCTACCAGTAATAATAATATCATCGAAATAGTTTTTACAACCCGGTGTTCCTTGTAAAACCTTTTCTAATGTTTGTTGAAAAATCGAACATGCTGGCTTGGTCCCAAAAGGTAATCTATTCATGAGGTACACTCCGCGATGCGTACTCCAAGCCAGCAGTTTCTTTGTATCTTCCGTTAATTCCAGCTGGTTATATGCTCTATCTAAGTCTAACAATGAAAACTCCTCCCCGCCCTGCAAAGCAACAAACATCTCCTCTATTCTCGGTATTGGGTGATTGAAATCTTCCAGATGTTTATTAACAGTTAATCGATAATTCGCACACACCCTAATAGCCCCATTCTCTTTCAAAATTGGTACTAAGGGAGTTCCCCACTCACTCGTGTTAACTTTAACTATAATAGCGTCTTTTTCTAATCTGTCGAGTTCTTGTTCTACTTGCGCTTTGAAAGCAAATGGGATCGTATGTGGTTTTTTAAAAATTGGCTTAACCTCATTCTTAAGTTTCAGCTGAACTTTTTCTCCTGTATATCTACCCAATTGACCATCAAACAGATTCGAATATTTTTTTAAAATACCATCCAAATTTACGTTAATATCATTTACACTGTTTATTCCACCTACATAAAATCCTAAACCTTTCATCGCATCTCTCCCTAACAAACTCGACATTTTTCTCCCATCGACAATTACAAAAGTACATTCCGCTTTTTTGTTTGCATATTCGACTTCCGCATGAATTTCGCCTAAAGGCAACATTGTCGCGTGATTGCCGTATAACCTTAAAATTCTATCACATTTTTCTAACTTACAATGCGACAAACGAGATTCGTAAACATCAATTGGAATAACCGATAAGGCCGCGCCGCTGTCAATTTCCATTAAAACTTTTCGCTTAGCAATAGTAACCTCGACCTCTACCGGTGGCTCGCGACGCGTTACTTTGACCACGTATTTTACATTATAGATATCCGAAAACGATTCGTCACTATTACTCGCGTCGTCCCTTTCCTCTTCTTCTACAAAGTTGTTTGAATTTTTATTTTTACAAACCTTAACTAAATGTCCTACTTCGTGGCACCCTTTGCATTTGTACGACTTATACCTACACTGTGCGAAATTATGTCGTGTACCTCCGCACGCCTTGCACGTCGGCTCCTGATGCTTCTGTTGTTTTTGCTTCGGTGCCTGCTGTTGCGCAGCTTCACTTGTTGAACCTTGACCGCTTGACTCTCCCCCTTTCCTGGAATTCGGTCTCCTCGCTGCTATTTTGTTTACCTGGTTGCCGTCTAACGAAATGCCGGACGCCGCTAACGATGCTTCCTTCCGCAGCGCCATTTCCAGCAGCTGGCGCAAACTTGCTTGATGACTTTCTTCCATAATTCGATCAATGATTTTGCCTTCTTTCATCCCAGCCACGAAAATATCTTTTATTCTACCTTCGAGCTCATTTTCGAATTCACAGTTCACCGCGCCTTTCTTAACACGAGCATACCACTGGCTTACTGACTCGAATGGTTCTTGCCGCAACTGATAGAAACGCTTTCTTTCATGAAAAACCGAAATTTGCGATGAAAAATGCTTTTTCATTATGTCACACAACTCCGCATACGCCTTGTTCTGCGGTAGCACTGGATGACATAGATCACGTAATGTTTTATACACCTCAAGGCCGATTGTTGTTATCAGCACTGAAACACGGCTTTCCGCGCTAACTCCATTGGCATGAAAGTATTGCTCCAAGCGTTCACAATAAATGTTCCAGTCCATTGCCGGGTTAAAACACTCCAACGCACCTATGTTGGCGCCAACTTTCACAATTTGCACGTTTCCACTTGCTTGTGCTCCTTGCACGCTTCTGTGTTGCTCTTGTGGCACTAATTGATTATTTTCGTCCAGAACAAACTTTTGTCCGTTGGGTATAACCCAAGCTCCGTCAGGAGTCTCTTCCAACGTCAATGTTCGAATTTTCGACATTATGGTTTGTTGTTTCCTTGTTACTTCTGATTCTGCTCCTTGACCTAGCAATAGAAGAGATTCTACCGCTGACTTCTCTCTGTCCATTACCTCACTGCACTGATGTGATGAAACACCATGTTTCACGTTTTACCCTCGTCGCCAAATTGTAGTATATCACTCCGGGGTAAAGGTAAGGTATTGTAAGAGATAGGCAAGACAGAGTATATAGATATAAAACGTATATTTATTACTGCTGAGTGGTACCTGGACGACCAGTCACCGTGACTGTCTGTAGGGATCTGAGAGCCTGAGTCCTCTTCGCTATACATTGCTTACTCTCACATAGAGGGCGCCACTTATTCTATTATAACGCTCCGCTACAAAAAGCATCTTTGCTAATTGGAATTCTTACTATTATTTAACGTTTTGTTATTTTATAGAGTGGTCAGTAAGCATTATGGGTCGTTGGGTGATAGGGTCTTGCGTCATTGTTTAGCATTTTAAATATTTATTAGATTGGCCAGTTAGCGCTTCGGGTCATTGGTTAATAGGTGTTTGTGTTATTAATTTAAAAGATTTGAATTTTTGCGCGTTGTAAAAAAATTTGGTTTAATTTTTTGCTTCCAATCAAAAGTTACAGCTGTTTCAACGAGAGTGTAAATATCGCTAATGATTAGATTTTGAGGATATCTGGCCAAAATTTGTGATTTTTCATAAAATCACCATTGCTTTTGACTGATAGAATGAAATACAGCAAACATTTTTTTTAATCATAAGGGCTTTGTGTTATCTTTTATTTGAGCCCAGGTAAGACCACCTCATATAGTGCACCACTTGGCTACTAACGTTAGAAGTAGCACCACCTTTCATGCATTTATATCATGGAAAAAGGCCAATTAAACGAAACCCCGAGACACATGTCTCGTATTTTAGCCCAACAGTGATAAAAAAGTAGTATGGCGACGATTGATCTCTCTAAAATGAGAAAAAACGACTCTTCAAGCTTAGGTAGGGTTGGAATGGAGAAGTTTAGAATAAAAATTTCGAGGTTTGCAGTGCTCGTACGACAAATAGACATATTAAAATAACTAGTCCACCCATAGCTTATTTACTACTATCAAACAAAATGAGAAACTGCAGTCTGCGTACCTGCACACGTATACCGAGTGGTTGTTCTATGGGGGGTTGAAACGGAATGAAAGATCTATAAGCGTGAAATACGAAAAAAGAAGGGCTTTAAGATTAAAAGGAATAACAACTTCTGGCACTACTGTATTGTGGGTTTTTTTTTTTAGTCCTATACCTTTAAAAGTTAGCATTGGTTAGCATTTCCAACCCAATAAGTGAGTAATTTGTGCCGATTTTTGTCAAAACCGCGATTGTGGTGCAAATCTATGGACAAAATGTATGCACTAAAAACTCACTCTTATTTGTCGATATTTGGTGTGACTACAAAACAAATATAATCCGTAATAGCTATAATTGATCATGCGTAACACCTAAGAGGGAGATAAGCCCTATTTTTCACTGGTGGGAGCTATTATGAGTAAAATTGAGTTGCGGACACGGGTCAGAATGGAAAAATCGACTTTAAATTTTTGACTATCTCAGTGAAGGGGGCAATAGTTTGGTATAAGACTGTATGTCAAATAAAGTTGACAACATTTAACAAAACTTATCGCTTTTAAAGTATTTGATTTAATTACGGCATGTGATTACGAGCACTGGACACAATCTGAGCAAGTTACGACAGAATCACCCTAATACAACCCTACGATCTCAAGTAATCTTAAATTTATACTGACAACCAGCTATTGGGAAAAAAAGTAAGCAGTATGTGCAAACATATCAATATATCAAGCTTACTACAGTAGTCCCAAATGTAATAGTACTACAACTAACATCTTATTATTATTATTATTATAACGTAGGTAATTTGAATTCAGCGTTTGGTTAGGCGGATATGATTTTGCATTCTTCTACCTATAATATGTAGCTAACACATGGGTCCTAGTGACAAAAATACGAAATTATATTCACCTAACCAAACGCTGTTTGAGCTATAGCGCATTTTCTTACATAGGCACACTACCACCGCCTGACGGCGGAAAAACCCTCATTAACGCGTCATTGCTCTGACTATTACAGGTGTTCAAGTTAATAGGTACTGTTTACGATTTCTACTTCCATTGTGAATAAAGCCTGAAGTTACATTACTATTCCAGTTGTTATTATATTTTGTAGTACAAAATGTCTTTAAATCGTCAAGAAATTTTTTTTCAGGTTCTTTTCTAACTACGAGTTAAGTCAACAAATACTTGGTGACAACATCGACATGTATCATCGGTATAACACGGCACTCTATGGACTGTGTTTTCATAAGGAAATAATAAGGTATTCACTGAGATACTTAACCAAAACTTTTGTGGCATTTAAATACAATTTGATTTTTGAACCCATGAATGATGGTAGGAGTGAAGCCTTTGTGTCACATAATGCCGTTTATGACGTTTTGAAAGATTTACCTATTTTTGTTGAAAATGGGGTTTTGAAAAAACAAAAAATATTGGTTAAGACTAATGCTTCAAAACAATTTAAAAAAAAGTAACCCCTAAAAACTTTGACGCAAGGGTATATGAAAACAGAGATAAGCTTAAAGTAAGAGTGAAAAACTATCTTGAAAATACTAATCATTTGAATAAAAGTAAGGTTTAAAAAGAAAACAACGTCAGTAAAACTAAATTAAATACAACTTACCTACAAAACTTAGAAGATTCAATAGATGCAGTAGATTTACTCAGATTAGATTTTGTTATTAATTTCATAATTAAAAAAATTGGTACAAGCCCATTTCATGTAATTTATTAGTTCCCTGATCAAGTTTACTTGTGGAAAAAATCAATCAAACATTTAAAATCTGTTGCTTAAGCTGTGTCCGATATTTTTATACAGAATACTTATATTTCAGATGTTTAAGGTAGACCTATCGTGTTCTGCGCTTTATTTGCTGAACAGAATGGTACATCGATACCGTATGCTCAAGTAATAACAGAAAAGCTTGATAAACACTTTTCCGATTATTTTTTGTGTGAATTTGTATGAGAAGAAATTTGTGCTCCTCAACAGTTTATATGTGGATCTTCACCAATATTATTAGAAGCAGCATCTTTGGCGTACAATAAATTGTCCTTAAATGACAACTTAACACGATGCTTACAGTTTTAGACTAAAACAAACACTCCACCTGATTGTTTTTTATTAACAGATTCAATTTTCATCATTAAACATTTTGATTATTCAATTGAAACTTTGTTTGACCCAAATTTAGACCCAAGTTAAAATAATTCAATTGATTGCTTTACTCAAAACATAAAGTTAGAAGCACTAAAAATATGTTCTAATTCCAATAAAAATCATGGTAATGATCCCAATTGTTACGGTAATTTAAATTTATTGAACCATTCCAAAATTTATTGATATCTTTTCCTGTGTTAGAAAATTTTATATACAAGGACAAAGGTCAGTCACTCCCTGTACATGTATTTATAGAAAAACATGCTGAGCAATTAGTGAATTTAATTTAAACTTGCAAAAAAATAGTTGAATGAAATGACTTGAATGAAAACTCGATGCACCACTATTTAAATTTCCGAGAAAACTAGATGAATGAAGCTTCGATTAAGAATAAAAAATGTGAAATACAAGAGTCTTTGAGTGTTAATGATGTTGAAGAAACTGAGTTAACACATACATTAACAGATAAAAAATCGGATAATATAAGTTTACATTGTCACTTACAATCGATGTTTAATCAAATTTGTTCACATTTGTTAAAAATGTCTAACGAAAGTCTCATAGTGACTAGCGAATTCGAGCAAAATATACTTCACTCAACTCCTGCAATTGACGAATCAACAAAGAAAGTAAACGTAAAAAAAAATTCGGCGAATGCTTCTGTAAGAAAAAGATTGCTTTAACTGGTTTGAAAAAATATAAACCTTCGAAATGTATAAATCCTTCTGGACACGTTAATATAATTCGTAATAGACTAAAAAATATCAGCTTTGAAGACCCAATAATGAGAAATGGTAATAAATTAAGATTAAAACTGAAAAATAGAGAATATTATACACGAACCACATATTTATTTAATAGCACTGTTAACATTTTTAATCACCCGATAAAATATTATAATAATTTGTAATTATTCCTAACTATCGCAACAACAAAAAATTCTGAAAACTCATTTCTTAAAATAGTTATAAACTATGCAACAAATGGTAATCTAAATGCACCATACCAAAAAAGGTTCAAACTTAGTTTTAGTAACGGTCAAATAAGAAATAGTGTAATTGATCTTAAACCCTCTATACAATCGTTTATCTTTAAAATTATGGAACAGCACTATAGTTATTTTGAAACAGTAACTTGTGAAAAATGTAAAAGTGAAAATAATTATTATCATTTCAAAGTAAATTTAAATTTAGATAACACTAATAGTCGTTGTATTCAACCAGAACTTTTCAAAGTAATGACTGATAAAACTGTGTGTACTGGTTGCAATGCAATAAATGATGAAAAATACGAATTTTTTAACTGCATTATAATAATACCATCGAAAAATGTTGATATCAATCTATCAAAAATTTAAGATGTAATAAATTTAAACAAAGAGTACTTCTCTTTAGGTAGCATAATAGCTTATGTACCACCACGATTACACAATAGCCCCACACATTATATTGCGTACTGTAGATCTCCTAACAGTCGATGGCAAGAAAATAATCAGAATAAAAAAGATTAAGTTGCTTGAAGAAATAAGAATACGAATGTCAAAGTTGCGCTAATTCTGTATGTACACAATAATTTATAAATTTTTTGTTCGAGTGGTAGCATTATGTTAACAATGTTTCGAAGATGTTAACAAAGTATACAAGTACAATTAAAACTTAAACAATATATGTTTTTCTATGAACGTCGCATATGATATGAAAATAAGAAGCCTCGATTTGATACGTTCCATTATTTTTTATGTTTACGTTTACAAAGTAATTCACTATACCTGCCTTTTTCATAAGTTATAGTAAAAAGAATAATATCTCTAT